AAAAAAAAAAAAAAAAAAAAAAAAAAAAAAAAAGGAAGAAGAAGGAAGATGGCTATATTTAGAAATACATTCTGGATGCATCTAGTGAAAAAAGAGGGAGTTTGGAAGAGTCAACTAAAATTGCAACTGATATTCTGGAAAGAGTTCTGATTTTGTCCTAGTTATTTGGTTGTTGAAGATCTCAAGATGAATCGTTGAAACTTTCTGTGTAGGCCCAACTTCCACATCCTAAGTAGATGAATCATAATATCAATGCCTGTGGAATTCATGCTTAAGATGTTATTTACTGAAAGGAAGATAGAGGATAAAGTGCTTTACAAGGTAACCTTCCTCCTTCTGGAGACATCAAATTTAGTTCCAATGTTGTTTTTCATTGCAAGAGAAACCTGATGTGGCCCTGGTTAGATTTGATCCCTGTTTTTTATATGTTAGCACAGTGTTAGCATGAGTAGGATGGTGCATATTATGGGGACATACTGCTACAGTGAGAAGTATCTTCACATTGAATAAAAAAATGAAATACAAATGAAATACAAAGCTATTTCTCCCTCACATCAGATTTTATTGTTTCCTCAGGGAAAGAAAGAACACAAATTTTGGTCTTAGATTTAACCGGCAAACATTTGAATTACACATAATGTTCTCTGTTGTTGGTTTTTTTTTTTTTAGAAAACAGAAATGAGGTTAGTAAAATCATTCCATGCCCAATTAATTCCCAGAACCGTGCTATTTTCTTTCAGCTAGTTTGTCGCTCTGAATCACTGAGATATGGGACAGTGCTAGGCTGGAAGAGTCAGGTATGGAACTGCAATACTATGTTATAGAAATAGTTGCCCTGTATATTCCATAGCAAAACTCTTTTCAGAAAAAAATGTCCCCTGACAAAGATTGGAAGTTGACACTTACCTGAAAGTTACCAAAGCAACTTCCTCCAGGCAAGGTAACATAACTCACAAATGGCGGGCCCAGGCTGCTCAGTGACTCATACACAATGATGCCTTCACTTGGAAGTACGGCTGACTTCTGTTTGCTTTCCCAGAACTCTTGCAATATTGCTACAACATTCACTGCCAAAGACAAAAAAATCTGAATGTAAGATGCAGCACAAGTCCTTGATCCTTAGTGTTTTCTATGTTACACAAGAAATGCAGATTTATGAAGCTGAAACTTTATAAATCATTATTAATATAAAAGCTTTCACCAGCAGTTCCTGCTGGCATGACAGTGTAATTGTGTTTCAGAGTCATAGGCTGTGGGCCTGCAGGGATTACAGGCTGCTATTGGTCATTCATTCCAGGTCAGCAGCATTGGTTTTTTTGCGACAGCATGTTGGGACTCTGATTCCATAGCAGGAATGGAGCTGTTCACTTTCAAACAAGAGAAAATGTTATACTTTAATTTCTTTTTACCCATTCACAAAAAGATCTCATGTAGTTACCCAGAGCAAGTATTGTAATTGTTACCATAAAACCAACTGATAACAGTTCGTGCAGGAGTCAGTGGCATTCAAAAGATAAATGAGGACAGAGATAATTTTCCTTCTTAGCTTTCCCCTTTCTTCATCCAGCCTGAGCTGGTTGGTAGTGGAAGAATGGAAAGGGAAACCATTTTGAGACAGGAGACAGTGGTGGCAGTTCCCATGCAAACTATAGATGGAGCATTGCTCTTTCTTGCAAGAGGAGCTGTGTGATCTCCAATTTTGTTGTCGCTTGTTTCTGTGCTTGGCAGCAGCACTGTTCTGATGTGCAGTAGCTGTCCTGGGCCAGGAGACGGACGGAGGAACAGTGTGTTCATCACCAGCTCTCCCTGATGTGCTCAGGAGGTGAGGATGTGCACACAGCGCACTGAGCATGGGGAGGTGCGGGGCAGCAGCTGGAGCACAGCGCTGATTTCCAACAGTGTCACGGGATGGCTCCCATCTACTCTGGTGTTCTGTTAAAGCTTTGGGATGTTGGTATACCATGTGGAAGAGGGCTACCTGCATAGAAATATTGTAAAATATTTGTAAAAGGAAGCATGCTGGATAACTGTCTGTCATGTGCAGATGAACTTGGAGAAAGACTGAAACAGAGAGAATCTCTTAATCATGGAAACAGAGTTCTGCTTTTCTGAATTATTCCCTTCTTGACAATAAGGGGGGGTATATTATGCTATTGTTGATTTCTGAAAATCAGTACTTGGCAATGCAGAGGAAATAAGCAATCTTCTATAATTGGTGAGCCTGCTTTTATACTATGAAGGGTAGTTACAAATGTGAGAGAAAAACTGGGAGTCAACACTCAGTAGCAGAGACTGCAGGAGGGGATCCACCTATTCAAGAAATGCTTCAGATACTCTCTGGCAGTAAGTATCTCATTGATGTCAATGTCTGGATGTTTGCTATGAGGTCTCTTGCTCCACAGAGCATGCACACAGACATTGGATAGCAATCTAATTTAAACCCCACTAAGTAAAAGCTGATATTTAAACATAAATTTCATGAATTTTCAAGCTTCAAAACTGACAATTCAGTAGAAGCTGCCATTACAATAAGGAATGGGTTTAGACACATTCAGTCCTGCATTGGTTTTGACATATATAGCAACAGAAAGCTATTCAAGCTATTCAAACTTCAAGAACACCTCTGGTTTAGGAAATTGCAATTGTCCAAGAGTGCAGTCATTACAAATTACAAATTACATAATCCAAAGGCCACAGAAATACAAGTACAGTGGTGTACTGTGGTATACCTGTGGTATCTGTGGTACTTCTACTTGCCTTGTCACTAAGCCTGTATGATACAACTTTTGTTAAAAATAAAAACTTTTGTTAAAAATAAAAAATAATTGATTTCAGCCACATAATCATGAGATTGAATGTTATGCAGCTGACAAATAAATGGATGTTAGTTTCCTGTTTAGCTAAAACTACTGACTATTTTAAGAACATGTATGCTGCAATAGGCAAAGCCACACAGGGAAGTTCCAGGCAATACTGATCCATTTTTATTCAGTCCAAGTCCCAGAATTGTAATGTGCTAGCCACACTTAATAGGAATGATGCGTAAATGCCACGCTTCTGCTTCCTACCAGAACACAACTGTGGTCTAAGTGGTCCATACTGGAAACAGAAGGCATTCAGGCAGTTTCACGCCAGCAGTAGCAATAGACAGCCTCCTGAACTGTAGTGTGTGTATGATACTTCTTTCTCTTCTGCTGTCAATTCTACAGCAATTATAAAAGTTCAGAGTAAAAACTTTGTTTTAATTCCCACTCTACTTTGTGACTTTGAGAGTAACTGAACACTTGGACAGCCTGCATTTCTTACTTGACAGAAATTTCTCACTCCTCTGCAAATTTGAGATTCAAAAAACTTTTCAAGCACTATAGAGAAGTACATCTTTTTACTGCGGTACACCAATGGAAATGAGGAACTTTCCCTCCTTTTTGCTGAAACAAAACACTTTCTGCCATTGCAAACTGTACAGATAAAGCAATTTTTTACCAGAGGGCTACGAAGCAATGATTACCTTATTACAGGTTACACTGATACGATTAACACTGAAGCAGCAGCTGAGAAGTAATACTTCCGATTAGAATTAATGTCTGTCAAATTAGCAAGCTATGCAGCTATCCAGCACTGGATAACGCGGGTTGTAATGAAGAAAGTAAGGATAAAACCTAGTTGAGATGCGAGGCTGGTAATGGGAATATGTGGAGATGCTTATCTAGTGGCAGAATCTCAAACTACCACCTTCTGCTATTTTTTTTTCAGCCCCATTCAAAGCCAGCACCTCAAAACTCTGATGAGGATGAAGTTGTATCAGGTTAAACTACAGAATGTGGCCACAACACCAAAGTCTCATCACACACGTTTTTGTTTTTTTTTTTTTTTTTTGTCCAGAATTCTTTATGTTTTGATTTAGTTCAGCTTATTTAAATCTATTGTGTAGCTTTAATCAGTACATTTATTGTCATGAGGCTAAACCAGCATATCCATTTCAAATACATAATTAAAGCAATTTCAGAAATTCTTTTTTTATATATAAGCCTAAATATGTTGTCCTCAAGTTAATACATGATGTTATGTAGTAGTGGTCTACTAAAAACACATTTGTTTTTATGCCTAACAAGCACTAATTTGTCTATTTTCATTATATATCATATTGATTTGCTGTAATTTAAGATGAAAAAAATGCTTGCACGCATTCAAGTGTGCAATTAACTGTGCCCTGTTGCTCTTCTGAGATAATACCATGATTACTAATATTGTATTAAGATTTCCCAGGATCCGTTTTTCCTTTAATAATGTGTCTTTTTTTTTTTTTTTTTTTTTAAGATTCCAAGAAGAATGTTGTTTGATCATTGTGTTTTGCATCCAGTGTGCTTTGAGTCTAATAAGGCATTGTAGAAAAAAGTGAGAACTGTCAGAAGCAGTAGCAGTATATAAATGAAACAGCAAGATTTGCCTTTACCTGGGAGGCTTAACAAAACACAACTCAGTAACGTACAATTTACTGTCAAAGATCATTCTCATTCCTGTAATTGGTTCTTGAATTTTGAAAGACAATTATGAAGTGACTGAGTTTTTAAGATAATGACTGTAGTATCTATATGCACTGACAACCAACTTTTTTCATGATTAAATCTTTGGTTCTTTAAAAGATATTATTTCGTACATTGTCAGTTGCTGTAATTAGTTAACAGTTTGGACTGAAATGAAGGCAAAGCCAAGTCTCCTCCATACAAACAGATAATGTTTTATCCATTTTATCCCTACCCTCCTGATCTTTCTTAATTAGCAGTTCAGGACGCTTGTAGCACGGGTCCCTTGGGAGTCACTCCTTAAGGGTAACGGGATCCAGGAAGCCTGGATGCTCCTCAAGATGGAAATCTTAAAGGTGCAAGAACAGGCTGTCCCTGAATGCTGCAAGGCAAGCCATAGGAGAAGACCAGTGTGGATGAACCAGGAGCTAGTGCCGAAACCCTGGAAGAAATAAGGGAGTCTAGATCCTCTGGAAGAAGGGACAGGCTACTTGTGGAGATTAACAGGAAGTTGCTACGGTATGCAGGGAGGAAGTTAGGAGGGCAAAAGCCCAACTTGAACTCAGATTGCCCACTGCAGTAATTTTTATAAATATATCAATGGTAAGAGAAGAACCGGGAGGAATTTCCATCCTTTACTTGATGCAGCAGGGAATGTGACCACTGAGGATAAGAAGACTGAGGTCCTCAACGCCTTGTTTATATCTGCCTTTAATAGGCAGATCAGTTATACTCGGGGCACTTTACACCCTGATCTGAAAGTCTGGGATGCTATGCAGAATATATTCCCAGTGATTCAGGTGGAGACACTTAGAGACACTTCCATCCGGACTGTCACAAGTCCATGGGACAGGACCGACTTCATCCTAGGGTGCTGAGGGAGCTGCCGAGCGTGTTTGCCAAGCTGTTCTCTACCATTTAACAGCACTCCTGGTTATCTGAAGAGGTCCCAGAGGATTGGAGGATTGCCAGTGTGACTCCCACCTACAAGAAGGGCCGTAAGGAAGATCCAGGGAACAACAGGCCTGTCAGCCTGACCTCGGTACCAGGGAAGGTTATGGAGCAAATCATCTTGGGTGAGATCACAAGGCATGTGTGTGGCGTCCAGGGGATCAGGCCCAGCCACACGGGTTCATGAAAGGCAGGTCATGCTTGACCAACCTCATCTCCTTCTATGACTGGGTGAGCAGCCTGGTAGACAAGGGAGAGGCTGTTGATGTAGTCTACCTAGACTTCAGCAAAGCCTTTGACATGGACCTGCACAGTATTCTTCTGGGGAACCTGGCCTCTGCTCCTAGGCAACAAATAGGACCTGAAGAAATGGCCACAAGTTGTACTAGAGGAGGTTTAGATTAGACAACCTTGTGATTCTATGATTTATGATGCTGACTGTAATGTATGGTAATGAAGTGAGAAGATCACTCTTTTCCTCTTCTGTGCTTTCTAAATAGCCTGGAAATTTCTTGTCCAGGGACTGAGCATTGTGGCTGTCCTATAGTGCAAACGTTGGTAGTTTGCTTGAAGCTTTCATAGACTACAAAGGT